TCCCAACAGAAGCCCTAGACAGTCCAGTTGGACTTCACTGCTGACTGGCAAAGCAAAGAGTTGCTCATGGCAGGAGTAATTCTATGTGAGAACTCCAGACAATTTGAGATAAGAAAAATTAAAACTGAGCTGTCTGAAGAAGAAACATCTTTTTCTGATCCAGAAATGTCTGAGGTCTAAAGCTCCTCTTCTCCTGTTCCTCCAGGACAGGAACAAGGCACAGCTCACAATGCTGTTGTAACATCAAGACAGGAAGGAAGGCAAAATCTCAGACTGAATTTGTATTTTGTCTCTCAGAAGAACATGGAAGCAGTGGTTCTAACATCAATTTGATGATTTTCTGTAAAAAAATCAAGTTCCAGATTCTTAGCTGTACAGTTACACAAATTTATAACAACAAAATACAGTTAGTTTCAAGAGACAGATTCCCTTCTGAAATCATTTAACTGGCACTTCCTGATTCACACTGCTATCCAGCATGAGTTGCACTGTGGCAGTGCTGATCCCGCCCTATGGGAATCTGTTCAATCTATTGGGAAACCTGAAAATCACGTTAGAGGTGCAATGCATTGCCAGAACATGGGCTATATCTTATTGATGGGCAGGTGCATGCTGCAGCTTAGCTGCCATGCGTGTTTGAGTTTCAATTTTACCTTTGGAGGTTTGGTAAAAGAATGTCTCGAAAAGAGGCTTATAAAAAATTACTCTCAGACCCCTTACTGAAAGAATCATTGGTTATAAAATGCCGTACCTAAAGCATGCTGTATTTCCCCTTGCTTATGTATTCTTCTGAACATGTGCATGAATCATCAAAAAAGAGTCACTTTTTTTTTTTTTCTTATTAAAACATCATAAAAGATTGTTACCACCACTGTATTTAGCAAAGCAGAAAAAGAGCAATCTAGAATTCAGGCAGATATTTTACAGTTATGTCTTTTCTCAAAAAGACAATTTTTTACGTTAAAATCTCTCACAGTAACTACAGACTCCCAAAAGGGAAAGCGTGGCAGATAAACAAGCAGCATCTGAACCTGAAGTTTGTGCCGTGAATATTCTGCTAATTGTCTTTTTGAGCAATGTGTTTACAAGCGACTGCTTTGAAACCATTGAAGTTTTAGGGACCTAATTGATTTGCTCCTCTCTGGCGAAGATGTGAAAGCTGAAAGAGTGACAGGAACATCAAGTGAGCTGCAGCGCATTAGCATGAAGTTCACATCAAATGCAAGGAGAAGAGAGAAATAAAAACCCGATTGGAAGTTTCAGTGTTCTCAGTAAATCCAAGAGATGGAGAACACTGCTCACACTGGGATGCACTGTGAGCTGCAGAGATGATGGACCACTTCATCAGCCGCTGCTTCACAGCAGACAGGGGAACTAACTCATTATTCCTGCTGAATTATGCATGCACGAGGAGCAGGTCAGCAGTGACACCAGCAGTCATTGCAGCTCCCGCGTGCCAGACCGCTGGGAACCCTCTGTTTGACCTCGGGCACAGTGCCTGGATGGTGCTGCACCGCACAGCTACTGCAGCCTGTGGCCCACGGGTCAGGGAGGCTCACAGCAGCCTTTGCCTATTCTCCACTGTGAGCTGCAGCATTCAGCATTTGTTCCACATTATCACAAAGATCCAGAATTATGGGTGCAAGCAAGAAGAGGGCTGCGCTCTCCTGAAATCTAACATCTCGTGCCAGCACATGTGAAACGAAGGCACACGGCTGCCTCCTCCTCTGCACGGCCCAAATAAAAAGCAGTGAAAACTTCAGAGCTGGGTGCTGGAGAATGGAGAATATGTATTTAGATATATTTAGCTTGCTTCCCCTCTTCCGGTGCAGAAAAGCAGTGGAAGATGGAAACCAAAGCCCTGGCTGGCAACAGGTCCACTGGACTGACAGCGGGGTCAGGAAGGTTTCTCTGCTCATGTATGGGCAGGAGAGGGCCCTCAGGGAGGGCTCAGCCCCCAGATGCCTTTGCCCCAAACAGAGCCCTTGGCTGTGTCCTGGGATACCCAACTGCACGAGCACTGCAAGGCCCCCAAGCAGCCCTGCAGATAGTCTCTCTTTCCAGCCATCCCTAGCTCCACACAGAGGGATGCAGGGGTTTTCACTCCAAACTGTCTACTCCAGTTTCCCTAAAGATAAGTGAAAAGCTGATTTCAGGGCTGTGCAGAGGCAAGAGCAGCTTGAGCTGTGGGATGGCTGGGGCCAGCCCAGGCAGCGGGAGAGCTGCCAGCAGCTGGGGGCCGTGCTCACCACTCTGGGGAGGGGGGGACAGGGGCTGAGCGCTCGTTATCAGCACTAGAAAGATACCACAGGATGAGAGCAGAGTAACAAAAACTCCATGAGATGATTTATGAGGACAAGAAAAACCACCCAACCCTTAGCATTAGTTTCCAGTGGTATTTAAGTTTTAGAGGCCAGCCAACACTTCTATTTTTTTCCTGCTACACTGAAATACTCTTTTCTGCAGGGACTCTTCTATGTTGTGCTTACACCGTGCTGTAACAATAAACAGGCATCTTTGCCTTCAGGGACTGCAGACAGTGCCAAAGCAGTTTTAAACCTCCAGTAACCTTCAGCAAACTGCAGAAGCCAGGCTGGGCGGCAGAGAGGCGCAGTGCTCAGCAAGGCAGGAGTGCTTGCGAGGACAACCACCACGGCACGGGCTGTCAGGGACGCTGGTGCCAGCTGGCTCACGGAGCAGCCTGACATCACCAGAAAGCCCAGAAACTGCCTCTGGAAAGCCAACCAGCTCTGTGCACAGAGCTAAGATTTAGGAACGAAAGCCCATGTGCAAGGGGCCGTAACTCCCCACCCTTCCCATCAGCAGAAAGGGAGTAGGGAGGTGAGGAGTGCAGCAGCCCCAGCCCCAGCCCATGCTTCTGCTCCAGCACGGCTGGGACTTGCCAATAACCTGCCTTAGGTAAAGGGAAAGTTGATCCAGCACTGCCAGCTCGCTGGGAAGGATTGAAACCTATGCCAAAAAGGTGGCAAATGATTTTCTTGGAGCAGTTCTCATCCTTGTCAGACAACAGAACTTAACAGAGAGCTCAGATGCTGAGCTGTGCTCGTGGCTTCTCACTGATGAAAAGCAATGATAACAGGGCTGATGTGATGAGCCATGTAGTTACTGAGATAACAGGTCCAGGACAACCGCTGGCACGCTCCAACTGGTTCAGAAAGCAGTGTTCAGCACTGTGCAGCTTCAGGTCCTGCTCCCAGGATGAAAATCCAGTAAGTGGGGTAATCTGACCAGGTCATTAACTCAGCATCTATGACAGTGCCCAGGAGCTGGTGCACACCATCTAGGGCCAGGTAGGCTTCTTCAGGTGAGACCTTACCACAAACCCAGCCCCCAGCCCTCTCTCTCTAGGTCTTCCCAAAGACTTCAGGGATGTGTGACCAGAGCCCTTCAGGCTGTTTATTTTAAGCAGTCAAATTTTAAAGTTGCTATTTATGAGCCAAGAGGGTTTAATTTTAAATCCTGCATTGTTGCTGTTGTTGTTTTAAAATAAATTAAGAGCACCCTCCCCTTTGCCTGGTCCATAAAGCTGTCCCTGGAGATGCTCAATTGAAAGGATCTGGAACTCATCACAATACCATCTGCATCTCTATGAGAGGTGATCAATCATCCTGAAACTCTGAACACCCACAGTGCCGTAATCTGCTGCAGTGTTCAAATCAACCTATATGAAACAGTGAAGGGAGGAAGGATATGCTGTCTCCTCATGGCACAGCAGTCAAAGATCAGATTCCATGCCCTGACACACAATAAAACACCAACATTTCCTCATTTTTACAGCCAGTGCCAAAGACAGAGATACTTCTTAGGGAAGATACACAGATAGGAGTGGAGAGCTGTGTGTGACACCGGCCCATACACTGCTCTGTACTGGATGATGGAATGTGTGCACAACCCAACACATGGGCTCAAGGAGGGAAAGCACCCCTCAGACCTGCTTCCCCTCCACCCGCACAAAATCTTTGCATGAAACTAAGAGTATAAAGTAATGCCTCATCCTACAATGGTTGGTGCATGAGGAGCACAAGGGGTTCTTTCTCCATACAAGCAAATTTAGAAATTTAAGTGCAGTTCTATGAAAGCTGTAGAAATCAAACAGATATGATGGCTCCACTCCCCTCTACTAAGATCAGCTCAGAAGCCAGACATACAAGGCAGCTTTAGCCAGCCTAGAGGAACATTCACATGCCAACAAACCCAATACATGGACTCTTCTTTCATTTGTGCTGTCTCTAGGCATCAGTACTGTGCAGTATGGGTATTTCAGTCTGGCTTAAACCACCACCTGAGAGCACACGTGGCCCCTCATGCTACCAAAGTTGGCTTTCCCTGCCTGGAACACAGCTGAGTGATGTCAGGGTGGCAGGATCACCACCATGCCACAGCTCCAGAGACCTTGAGTTCCCACTGACTGGTGCAGCCCAGTGGGCCCAAGAGGCTGGTTGGGGAGGTACAGAGAAACCAAGGAATGCAATAACCTGCCTTTTAGATCCTGTTAGCATTACAGAGAACAACAGCCCATTGCTTCTATGTTTTAGAGTTAGGATGCACTGGTGCAAGCCAGCAGTGCCAGTAGTGCCAGTAGTGTTATATGAGATACCAGGAAAAAAGGTACAAGGCTTTACTCTCATTTCTGTTCTTAGCAGATGAGTAGGCAGTCTATTAAGAGAGTTTAATCAAATGAAGGATTTCTTATAACATCCTGGGATGAGACATGCTGTCATCACTGGCTTGGAACAAGTTCTGCTCAAAAAGTCACTCTTTGTCCAGGCTGGCAACAAATTGCTTGTTTTCTTAGACAAGAACACTGGGTAGTCCACAAGACTGTGATTCATCCTCCACCATGAAGATCTCCACCCCAAGGTTCTCTAACAGACAGCTGTTTGTACACACGCTAGGTCTTTTCTTAGCTTACCTTAAGACACCATCCAGCTTCTTTGTGTTCATTTTCATCTATATGAAGAAGCACACGAGATAGTTGAGGGCTTTATTACCACTTCGCAGCTTGAGCTCCTGGATGCAGCTCTCCAGCACCAGAAATGAGATGTAATGATGAAGGTGCCAATTCTGGGAAACACAAGCTGGGTTAAAAAAGCAGATACATCCTATCCCTAAAATTGTCTCTATCAGAGTCGAATAGAAAATGAAGCAATCTAAGGTGCTGTTTCATGTAGCTGCGTGATATTTAAGAGCTTAAGGACTCCCTAGATAGATGAACAAGATGTAGACCTTGCAGAAGCTACAGAAAAGCCTCCACTCACTTTTCTGAGTGTTATTATAACAGGAAGTAAAAGATGTGAGTGGGCAGGAGAAGGGGGTAGGTTGAAGTAGAAATATTTAAGGATTTTATAGACAAGAATGTGAACTAGAGGAGTTATTGCAGGATAAATTTATGCATTGGATTTTGCACTGAAGCATCTAAGAAGGTACCTAAGCATTGGACAGTTGTCAAAGGGACAAGAAGCAACACTATCACCATGAGATACATGAAAATCAAATAAATCTGACAGATGCCCTACATTTATGGATTAGAAGAAAAATTTCCCTGACAGGCTCAGAGCCCCAAGGCAATCCTACTGTGCTGCTGTAAGTTGACTAAGAGGCAACTGAGGCATGAAATGCAACATCTGTGCCAGTTGTAGCTCTCTTCGGTCCCAATCCAGCTGAGGGTTTCTCAGCCCTGGCTGTTCAGAAGATCACACAGTAACCAAGATGAATCCCAGTCTCACTACCAACTGGCTCCTTCAGAGCTGCTTACAGCCAGAATAGACATCCAACACCCAACCAACACTGTTGTTGAAGAAAGAATTTTTGGAAGCAACTACTAGTGTGATAACTAATGGTCACTAGGAGACAAAGACAGTCATTACTGCCATGTTTGTGTGCCATCGACTTCACACTTCTCTGACAGCAGTTAGAAGGAAAGCCCACGAGACCTGCTGCCCCTCTCAATTTACCTGCAGGCCCACTGAGCTCACTCTGGAGACAGCTTTCATGATAAAAAGGGATTTCTTGAGGTCACAAAGTCACACCAGGATAGAAGAATGAGATGGAACGGTAAATTTATATCCTCTACAAGAGTTCTGACTCTGCCACTAGTGTTTCTGCTTTCTGGATGACTGCTGTCCAATCCATGCCATACATGCAGAATGAAAAAGTTTGAGACTTCTTTGCCCATTGATATTTCTCTGCAAAGGAGGAGAATGCAATGCATCCAACACGTAACACAAGTTGCGTGAGTCAGCTTTTCACAAGTCTTTAGAAGTGTCCTTCCTCATCCCCAGGTTTCACTCAGTGTCTCTCATAGAGACTGATTTTCACAGATGTCTACACTGACACGTTTTCAAAGCCCAAAAGTGAACAGCACTCAAAACACAGTGAGAGTTGTTTGAGAACTGCTTTCCCATATTCACACGAACCATCTGAAGTCCTGACCTAGATCCCCTGCATCCCAAGGAGGCCCTCCATCACACCAGCAAGCTTTGGTTCTGGCCCCAAGCACAGGATAAGCCTGAACTTGTGAAACTAAGGTTGACAGGATTTGACTAAACATCTGGCCATGGTCAGAGTTGAGGGAAGCACTCTGAGATGGGCATTTATGATACTGGCCCCGAGCAATTGCTATTTCTTACGAAATGGAGAGTTTTAAAAGTTTGTTGCATACAGGATTGTTTATTGGCTTTAGTATTGTTTCCAATGGTTTCCTTTTCCAACACCCAGCTTGCAAAAGCAGTGCTCATCCCCCACAGATACCTCCCTGGGCATCCAGTGCATGCCCGGCCTGCTCCTGGCTGCTGCACTGCTCTCGGGATTGGCTGAGCCCGGTACCTTTCCAACCCCAGTTACAGCAATAATGCTACCAGGGTTTACAGATGTAAAGAAAATTAGGCTCAATGATTGTAAATTGGGCTCTGCTTGGCATCAGTGGCTCCTCAGCAGCTTCTGAAACCCAGCCACTCTCGTTAAAGATGCTTTCTTTTAGGCAGCCAACTTTGAAAACCATTGGCCAAAAATGTGTGAATTAGTCAGTTTATCTGTGAGTAATAGGAAGGGAGGAATAGCGATGCAGACTGCAGCCCTGTCACACAGACTGAGAAGGTCCATATAAAATGTTAAGGGCGTTACTCATCCTGCAGCACTGCCGTTCACTGAGGAAATACACTTCTATTGCAAAGCCCTCAAGGATGGCATCCATCTGTCTCACGTCTGTACAGCACCCAGTTCAGTACACACTGGGGACACTCAGCTAGTTATACCCACCGGAGAACGGGGATAATACTGATGCTTAGTCACTGCACATTCCCAAAGCACATAGGAAGAGATGATCTCCTGCTCTTTGGAGGGATGGAGAGGAGTGTTTAATAAAACTGCATGGTGTAACATCCCCTGAAAACCAACTCATCTTGCTCATTCAGCAATACTTACAAATAACCAGTCTGCAAATGCCCTGTTGTGATTTTCAGGTGAGCTCAGCCCATACCTGTATGAAGAGCCTCATGCAGTACTGCCCGGGCTTGGACTCCCCAGCTACAGACAGTGCAGAGCTCAAGAGCCTTGCAAAGAGGCTTACCTGCCACCCTGAGTGTGACCCTGAACCAGTCCTTCCCACACTCTGCATTGAGCTTTGACGGATTCAGAGCAGAAACACTTGGACAAGTATTTTCCTGAACAAAGGTCACTGTTCCACATTGTTTCTCCACATTAAAATAATCAGGTTAATAAATCAAATGAGCTCTCAGAATATTCATGTTCAAAAAGGATTAAACATATCAGGGTTTTTGCCAGAAATAGTGGGCCAGATGCAGGCTTTGACCCCTCTTTTGCCAAATACATGGAAAACATCTGTGTAGTCAAGCAAAACCTTGTAGCAAACCAGATCAAGAGAATTATGACTATGTTTGTGGGTTCCGGAGGCCCTTTGTTCAGATGGAAAATAAGCAGATTAATATGCAAGTCCTATAAAGTTAGGAATATACATCAATTTATAGGGGCTTTTATGCCTGCAGATAAACACTTCAGAGACTGCTTCATTTAGAAAGGCACAAGACAAAGAATTAGGAGCATTTTCACAAGTCAGTATGACGCTCACCACTGTCCATAGGTTAGATTCAGTGCACAAATACAACAAAAAAGAAGCCACGCTAACAAGCTAGGCTTTTATGCAACAACATTCTAAGAATAACTCAGTAGGGATGGCAAATCCAGCAGGGATGAAAAACAGCGAGTTTGTGCCTGTTCAGGACTAAATGATAACACTTCAATATTCACCCTTTACACAGCAATAGTTCCATCAGGCCAGAGCCTTGTTAAAGGAGGAACTTGACAAACGCACAGCAGAAGAACCACCTCTTGAGAGCAGCACCCACAGCAACAAGAGCGCTGGGCATGCCGTGTGGGGCTGTGCTCCCCTGCACTGCACACACAGGCAGAAGGTGAAGGTGTTGTTCTAGGCTATTGATGGAAACTCTTCAGTTGCTGTTTATATGATCAACAGTCTTCTGGGAGCTGCGGCACCCGGGTCCTCCTTCCTTTCAGTGCTGTGATGACATAGGCTAAGCCACTCTGAAATGGCAAGAGGTACTCCCATGTTTTAACTGGAATGCTATCCTAACTTTTTATTTCTTGGCTTCTCTTACTCAGTCAGGAGCATTTCTTACAGCACTGGGCCACCTTCCAGGCATAACATCTACCAAAGGCACCAAAGAGCTTGTCCTAGTTTTTCCCAGAATATAGTACAGCCCAGAGCAAAATGACTGCAACACAGCAAGTGCAGAAGAGAACTAGCAGCAAGGAGGTCAGAGGATAATTAAAACCAAGCCAAAACTGCCTGATCTGTGACCGAAAGAGAAAGCTATTGCAAACAGCAATCAAGTTCAGTCACAGCAACACAGCTGCTGGGTGGCAGGGAAGTTCCTGGCACTCTCATTGCCCCGTGCTGCTGACATGAGGCCGCATCTCCTCCTCCCCACCTCTCTGACAGAAAAGATGCAGACTGAACCAGGGAGCCATGATACAGCGTAACACAAGAAAGAATCAGGCCCAAGCACGTGTCACACATCTGCATTCCTCCTCTTCCTCATTGATTCTCTCCAAACAATATCAAGGGATGTTTTTCTAAGTGTTGGACATAGAGTTCAGACTCTGGATGCCTGTTCAGGTGCAAAGCCCTGGCATGCTCCTGAATTTATGTTAAGCCATCTCATTACTGCTGAACAAAAGCCAATGAGTGAGTTGGCCACAGCTCAAAGAAATCACTTCTCAAGGCCATGCCCAATAAAAACAAACCGTTAGTGCAAAGTTACTGCACGTATGAAGGGATGTTGAGGAAGAAGGATGTTGTCACAGCTAATGCCTCAGATTAAGAGATGAGAGATCTGTTTTTTGTAAAAGAGATCCTCCATGTGATGTTGGACAAGCTGTATCGAACCCCCTTATTTCCATCTCCCTCAGAATAAAACTAGAATAATACTATTCCCCTGCTTGGTGCAGAGTTTTAGATCACTTCGTTCCTTATGCTTGTGATGACATACGCTGCTGAAATGTCTATGAAGCACGAGGAGACAGAAAAATGACTCAACCGACCACACCTGGCTGAATTTTTAAACTCAAAAGAACTGATTTTCAAGCAGCTTCCAAAACTCAATCCTACTACAGGCTATCAGGCTAAGAAGCAGCACAAGAAACGACTCCCTACAGGGCAATTTTCTGCAGCAGTGACAAGCCCCGTGCCCAGAGCACCTCCTCAGCCATAAGCACACAGCACAGCTCTGACAGGCCCATCCATTTTCTGTGGCTGCACTGCGTCCCAGGGGCTGCCATGCGGCACTGCTGCTCCACGCAGCGGGCTGCGAGGGCACAGGGCCGCCCTGCTGACTCAGAGGACATCGCAGTGCAGCCAGGGCTCCATTTCCCCATTTCTGGAGAAACAACCACGCCGCCTCCTACACGCTTGACGAAAGGATGCAGCGGAGCCATGCTGCTCCAGAGCGCTCCAGACACGCCACAGCTGGGCTGCTACCCACCGCCCTGAGAACGGCCTTCCGTCACGAAAAAAAGATTGCTTCAGGCTTGGCACGGGCTCGGAGGAGATTTTCAAGGCGGCCTGTTTCTCCCACACATCCTCTGCACTAGCAGGATGATGATGATGATTATTACTGTAGTTGAAGATTACAGACAAATGGCTTTCAGAACAAAATGTGTGACAACTCTGGCTTTTTAAAAATGCATAGATGTTGTCAATGTTAGAATGGTTGCCACATGCCCACATCACCTCTTTTCCCATTACCGTCTGCAACACCGTGCAGCCCTCCATAAAGTAAAAACACATGCTGGAGTGCTAATGAGAGTAGACGGGTTGTTGAGGTTGCCAGAGAGCATTGCTGTGTATCAGTCAAGCAAGACAAAAGACAAAGGAGAAACACACAGAGCAAACACTCAAATAATCTTCCTTCTATAACTGCACGTTAACTTAAAACCACAATAGGTTTATTCACACAAGTTCCACCCAGAACAGCAACAGAGAAATACAGACATGAATCCCACTGGCCCCATGCACCATGGCTGCCACAAGTGGCCCTTCTCCCACCTTCACCCATTGAGCTCCAAGATCACTGCAGTGTGTGCAAGGGGAGAAGTGGTGCCAAACCTGCACACAGCCTTAGCATGGCAATACCCTGTGAGCGTTTTCATTGTCACTGTAGCTTCCTTCACACACACAGCTCAAAACTAGGCTTTGATGATGGTCTGACTCTTGTGACTGCTGCTGCACACAGCACAGCAGAGCATGGAAAACAAAAGAAGTGGTAAGCTCTCAATGTTATACTTGGAACAAGTTAAAGCTCAAAGTAAACCTGGAAAAATCCCATCTTGTTCTGTTTTTGCACAGTTCTGCTCTATCCAAGCACAGCAAACCTCACAGGCATGTTGCCATGCGGAGCGGCCACGGCTCCAAATCTCCCGTCCTCCTGCATGCAGCCAGGACCCTCAAGTCTCTGGGAGGGGATGGAAGCTATCCACATGCTTCCAGATGCTCTGAGACACATTCTCATGGATCAAGCAGCCAGATAAGCAGCGCAAGTGCAATCTGCAAGATGGAAAAATGTGTTTTACCAGTCCTTCTCCATTCACATCTTTGCAAGCATAGTGCAAGGTGGGATGTGCTGAGCAGAGCATGGGAGAGCAAGCCCTAGGTGCTGCTGGATGCAGACTAAGCCAGCACTCTGGCACAGGAAGAAACAAAATGCTGGGGAGGCACTCAGGCTGTCATCACATAAATCTTGCAAACACAACAGTGGTTGTTACCGGGCTTAAACAATGAAACGGAAAGAAAAGTCTCCACTAAGACATAATATAAAAACTAAATAAGGCTACAAGAAAAAAAAGCTTTGCTCTTCCTCAGTATAAAGTACTTGGCTTGGTACCACATCTTGCCTCAGGTTTTTCAACACCTTGTGCCGTGTGCCGTGGTGGGAGGTCACTCAGCAGCCCTAGTCAGCTGCCAGAGGGCTGGAGGTGGCCAAAACCCAACATTTGGGAGAAACTGAAACCTCTTGAAATCTGGTTTCACTCTGATTTACAAGAACACTAACATTTGCAAACTTTCTCGTGACACAGAAAGATTTTCCCATCTAAAAAAGTATCTGGTAAGCATCAGTACGATGCATTCCTGCAATCAGCTATTCCCTCCACAAAGCCCAGTAGTTCTGAATTAAATCAAGATGAAAAACCACAGCAAAATTGTCAACTAATTTCTACCCCCATCCCAGAAAAACCCTCAGCCTGGTTAAAACCAGAGCAGGGGCTTTGGGGAACTGATACAGGCTAGGAGGGAGCTCAGTGCCCTCTCTGCATGACACCACAGGCCTGTGGGTGACACCAGCTGCTGGCCAGAGTCCCTTCAGCAGGGCCCAGGCACTGGCTCTCTGCATCTAACCCACTGCAACATTTCTGGTGGTCCCAGCGAGCTGCTGGCCGCCTTCCAGCTGCCACCTTCCTCTGGGAAAGTACAGTGTACCCAGTGTGTTGGGAAGCCCTGGGAAAGAGGGTACAGACACAGAGAAATTCCGTGTTCAACCCACAAGACAAGGTTTCCTAATGCTCATTTACTTCCTCCCTCCCCCATCTCAGAGACCATTATTGGTTTTCCCCAAAGCCCGGTCTGAAGGAAGCAGCTCTTTGTGCCATTACTAATACATGTGGTTACTCTTTGAAGATGTGTCAACCTAACATGACCAACAAATGTGGGAGGAAGAGAAACGCAACCAAAATGTGCTTGCTTGTACCCACTGCCAGACTGAAAACAAAGCTTCCAGCTTCCGGGTTGGCTAAAACACGCTCCCTTTGTGCCCACTGGTATCACATTGCTTGTATCATCCTGGGAGGTTCCTTGAGCGTAATCTCCTTTGTTTGTTTGAACTGAGAATCCCGGGGGTGTTTTAAGCCAATTCTGGTAAATCAAAAGCAAAAACAAAAACCACCCTTCCACTCCAAGCATGCATCCAAAGAGTAACAAGGGAACAAGATGGCTCAGACCCTCTCTAGCCATGGCCAGGAGGCACGTAGCCCATGTTCTGCACAGTGTAGCTGAGGAAGGCAGGAGACAAGTGCAAGGAGAAAGCAAGGATAACAGTTATCATGGCCTGGCTGCTTTAACTCCGATATATGTTCACTCCAGTTTTTAGCACAGTAAGTGTGGAGGAGCCTGGGGACTCTATGGCTGCATCAGGCACCCCAGCCCTCAGAACTGCCCCTCTGGGTTGCCCCACTACCTCTGCCATTTGGCAGAGAATGCTGCTGAGCAGGGCTCATTCCTGCCCCCGTCGCTTGCTGGGACCCATCTGGGCCCACCTCCAGGTCTGGGAGACAAGCATCTGCCTGGTACCAACTGCAACAGCTGAGCCAACCTGCTCCTGCCTGCTCAGCACAACGCTCCGATGCCAAGATGAGATTCGAGACGATTCCAATTAGGGAAGTGGGGCTGTCACCATTTCAGCTGCACAAGCAAGATGAGACAACTCCCAGTGTCACCAAGTGCCTGCAGGAACGCATTTACAAATCTAATCACCTCCCAGCACAGTCGGGCTGCCAGTGCCTGGGGAGGGTGGCAGGGGAGAAGAAAGATTTGGAGACTCTTCAGGAATATTAATTCACACTAATAGAAATCGGATCTGCCCTTGCCTGCAATCAGCAGAACTGAGATTCTGCACCGGAATATTAATGCCAGTGCTCTGTGGGAGATGGAGCCCTCTCAAAGCCCCCTTCAAATTATCAGAATTAAACATCAAAAAGAGCAGCACAGCAAACTGCAATGCAGGTTTGACAGAGGAAGCAGTGTGTTGGAGGAGGAAATGAAGGTCACCGAAGGTGCCACTGCCTCCTGCTGGGTGCCCAGCCCCATGCTGACCACTGCCCAATGCACCAACCCTTCCTGCTCAGCACCCAACCCAGCTGTGAGCCCTGCCTCTCCTCCAACACATAGTGCAACTGAGCTCTCAGTCCTGGGCTGATCAGGTGCATTCTGCACACATACTGAAACTGACCTCACGGCAGTGGAAAAAAATAGCTTTGCTACATGAGTGTTTTGTTATTCTGTTGGAATAGTTGTATATGGGGGGAAGTAAAGACCTCCTACACTTCATTTCAAAGAGGCACTAAAAACACAGGGCATCAAGCTTAACTGACCAAAAGCAAAGCTCCTGTGTAATGCTTAGGGAGCCTGGTGGCACTGCAGGGAGCCTGCCACATATGTGGCTGATGAGAGCTGCAAAGCACTGACAGCCAGTGTGAGGATAAACCTCTTAATACTGAGACTGCAGAATGAAAGCGCATCGTACTCCTTTTGAGTCCTTCCTGCACATCCGTCCTCTTCAGGAGCACCTTAAGGCTGGGAAGCTCAGTACCAGACGAGGCATACATGCTCCTTTGCCATCCCTGTGCCCAGGTACCTCGTGCCCTTGGCTGCAGGGAGGGACAGAGAGCTGGGATGGGCCTGAAGTGCAAGCAGAGGGCAAATCTACCAGGAAGGGCCAAACACTGTCTCTCACCGCACAGGGAAAGCACGTGTGTCCCATCCAGAGTGTGCCATAGGGCCCTGCCAGCAGCTGCTTCCCCTTACCAGGCAGCTCCTTCACATTGCTTGGCTTCCAGCAGGAGCTTCCGTTCTTCATCATTACAGAACAGCACTCCCTCATACTGCACGGCCTCATCCCCATCAGCATGGATGGAATCAGTCCCCGACAGCCTGAGGGCGACCTGCTGCTCCTTGGCTACGGACAAAAAGGGAGAAGTTACGGTTTTCACTTTTGGAGTTAAATTACTCCCAGTTAAAACTAATGATTTACTTTTATTTTTTCTGCACCAACAGAAAAGTTGGTCTAGCTAGGCACTTTTTTGAAAAAAATCTCTAGCCATCACGTTGGTGCCTCGTCTTAAACTTCCTGTACACTCAGCACTACCATGTAGCAAATGCATACGAAGTTACAGCACATCAGCACTCGAGGCTGCCATCTAACCGGTGAGACGCGTTCCGAAGGTCTCTGCTTTCCCCGTCACTTACATGACAGATCTCAACTGCCGAGATAGCTTGTCATCTGGGTGAACGAACGAATGAGGAACAGACCGGCTCCGTTTGTCATTATCACCTCTTTTATTGCCGTGTAGCGCGCGGCTCCAGCGGGGAAGGAGGAGAGGACAGCAGCCCCCGCTGCGGCGGGAGGGGTCGGGCCGGCAGCGCTGCAGGGCCGCGGGCGGGCACCAGGAGGAGCTGCCGCCCCGCACCGCCGCGCTGCTGCTGCTGCTGCTGCTGCCCCCCCGCCGCGGGCTTCAGCGAGGGGCTCCTGACCCGCCCAGCCGCTCCGAGGTCCGGCTGTGCCCGGGTCGCCGCCACGGGACAAGGACGGGCGATGCTCGGGGTGCAGGAGCACTGGGCAGCCGCACCAGGAGCGTGCAGACAGCAGCTGCCGCGTTCTCAGAATCATTAAGTTTGGAAAAGACTTCTAAGATCATCTAGTCCAATTGGCAGTCCATCCCCACCGTGCCCCTCAGTGCCACGTCTCCGCGGACCCTGAGTCTGTAGAGACACCAACCGACGATTCAGGACAGAGGAGTGCACTCAGGACTGCCTTCCCAAAGGAGCCAAGCTCACCAGCTGCTCCCGCAGCAGGAGGCCAGGGCCCTGGCACAGCCAGTGACTGCAGCAGCATGAGCCAGGGATGGCATTTTGTGGTGCCTGCCAGTGCTGTAGTTCTGGCCCCACAGAGCCCTGTGCCCACACTCAGAGCAGGGCTCCCATCCATCCACACATTGGTCATACTGAAAGGCCTGTTCAAAGCCACTTGTCCCAGGAATCCCACTCCCCTTTCATCACTGCCCCTCCACACCCACAGCCAGACTGGTGCCCCCAGGCTTTCACACCTGTTCTCCTCAGCCCCACAGCACAGCCACTCTGCTCTGCTGCGCTGCCCTCCCAGCTCACCAAACCTCTCTCTGGCACTGCCTTTATAGATTATAGGAAAAGTGGGTATAAGTTTGTGTGTCCAGTGAAAGAAGCAGAAAGCAGTCACACACTGCATGCACCCCGCAAGCAGCAGCACATATCATTTCAGCGTCCTTGCTCCTGCATGGCTCCATTTCTCCTGCCTTGCTTGCCCTTCAGCAGTCCCTCTGAGCCCGCAGCCTTTCATCTTCTGTTGTTTCAGACCCAGCAAAGGTTTCCATCGCCCTGCGCACAGCCTAACGCAGCCTGGCCCCTGTGCTTCCAGACAAAGTCAGTATGACTGAGAAATGAGGAGCCTGCCTCGCACTTGTTTCCAGTCATATGAAGAACTCCTCCTCTTCCTCCTCGGGCCTGGTTCCAGGGCTGGCTCTCCATGTTTGCACGTGGGAGCCCAGAGCCCCGTGCCCCGCTCCTTTCCTCCTGTTGGCCACAGAAGATGGCAGCTGCGCACAGTGCAGGGCAGTGCAGGCCGTGCCCAGCACCCATGGCTGCAGAAGGCCGTGCTGCAGCGAGCAGCGACAGCCCGCAGTTCTGCCCACAGCCAGCCCCGTGTCCACATTGGTTTCTGCTGCCAGCCGGCACGGCCAGCCCTCCTGCTGCCTGCTGCTTGTGAGCACATGGTGGGAGGGCACTGCGGCACCCCAGGAAGAGCCGAGGAAGGCCTGGCCTGGCACGGATGTCACTCTGCCCCTCGAGGCCCAGGCCTGCTGGCCTCCCTGCTCAGCGCTGCGCAGAGCGATGGGGAGAGGAGCTGCGCTGGGGCTGCGCGGCAGTCCTTCAACACCAACAGCACTGCGCCGGTTGGGAAGCCCAGTGTTTGTTTCATTCTGTTTGGAGCTGTTCTGAACCTGTTGAGGAAATGTAGAGAGAACTCCCTTAAAACACGGTGCTAGCTTTACTCAGGCAACAGCACTCTGAGCCCCCTGCGATGGGAGGCACTTGGAGCCACTGAAAGCACTCAGGACTCCAGCCATCCCTGAACAGGTCCATGGGTGACACTGAACTGGTGGGAGGCACATGCTGAGGCTGTCCTGGAGAGGGGTGTGCAGGCAGAGCAGCACAAAAGTAGGCCAAACAGAATAGGCAGGCTGATTTGTAATAATGATCTCACCAAGAAAGGGAAATAAAGAAAACAGGACATGTTTAAATAATGTAAATATCCAAATAATAATAAAAATATCCAAATAGCAACCCAAGAGGCCAGTGGAGTTGTTACAAAGCAAAGAGCACACAGCTGAACTTCCCTCTGCTCCATGTATAGCACAGTGAGCACCACCACCAAGGCACCGTCTTTGTCCAGTTCGATTTCTGCTCACACACTCTGCGCACCACAGCAGAAAGGAGATGACTTTCCCATGGCATTTATTTAGCCCTTTTACCCAACTGCAATTACAAAACTACTGTAGGTGATGTTGCATCAGCTCTGTACTTGCAAAACACCTGGTTTGGGATGGTACAGTGCTAAAACTCGGCTTTCAGAAGCATTTATAAGGTCACATCAGAAAGAGAACAGGCTACTACTATCATCTGATTTAGGCAGGAAAGGGAAAAGGCGAATTCAGTGGCTCAAAAAAAAAGTACTAATAGTTTCTACTTCAGGCACTAGCAATATGGAAGCATTCTAAGGATCTGTGCTCACATTTATCAATGACATCATAGCACTGGAAGGTGATTGCTGAGTTCATGAATTAAAAACAAAATATGGACAAGCAAAGCCTTAATTTCCATTTTGAATCAGTCCTGCTCTTTGCTGGAATAAAAAAAAAAAAAAAGAAAAAAAAAGGCATCTTGTCTGCAAGCACCATGCACACACATACCTGAAGCAGAATTTTATTTCCTTCATAGTCTTGTGTTTGCCACCTGGTCCTGCTGATAGGAATGCACGGATTGGGCAGGAGAGGCACCAGCTGCCCCATTTCTTGCACCTTGAACTGCAAAAGTGATGACTCCTTGGGCTCAGCAGCCATCCCAATGGGCAGCTGCTTCAGGCAGAGCTGGACAGCAATAGTTTTAGTGGCATATAGCACGAAGACACAGAAATTGCTTTTCCGGAGGGTTGCTTCTTTCCGTAGGATCATCTCATATAGCCCTACTGCATCATCATAGTTATCAAAGCTGCAGTAGAGGGTCACACGCAGGATTTCAGGGCTGCAGCCCACCCGCCGGATGCCCCACACAGGCATCTGATCATCCAGGCCATAGAAGTCCTGGGGAGCTGGTGTGTGGGGATGACTTCGTGGCCAGGTTGGGACACGCTGGTAGTGCCAGGGTGGGTGCTGGAGGAGATCCTGGACCTGGAGAATCCGCTCTTCTCCCAGGTCCTCCTGCAGAAAAAGGAAGACAGATATCCCAGGAAAGCTGCAGTTTCTCCTTTGGTACCTCTCATAGTATTTCAGTGGAGCAACTCGCTCAGACACAAAGAAAAGTCGAACATCTGGGCAGATCCACTCCATGAGCCGATCCAGAGCTTGCTGCAGAAACGCCGAGTATCCTGAGTTGGCGAGAAGATGCACGGTCATCAGAGGCTCTGCTCTGTCACCCATCACAAAGCTTCTCTTCAACAAACAAAACCAAAGCAAAAATAGGAGTTTCCTCCTGCAGTGTTTGGAGTGGCAGCAATGCAGGCACTGCACTGAGGCAGAGAAAGAAGACGATCACTCAGAAGCTTTGCAACAACCCAGTGAGGTGACAGGATTGCACACATGTGCATGAGGCTGGAAAGTGTGCCATGGCGCGACAGGACCAGCCCCAGTTTGCTCACGTCACATCAGAGCTCAGATGCAGATGCACATCTGACCCAGCAGCATGACCCAGATCTGGTCACCGGGTGCACACAGCCGAGGTGTTGAAGCACTGCTGTGCTGCAGTGGCTCTGTCCCACCTGGAGCAGGGTGGTGGAGGGCTGAAGCAGGAGTGCAGTCACTCTCCCACAGGCATACATCTCCTGATTCTTGCCTGTGTGAAAACCTCAGCGTGTGTTCCTGCACTTCAGTTTGCTGATCTCCCCGAGTCACACCCTTCTGGGGCACACAGATAAGCTATTATTTAAAAACAAGGAAGGAAAGCAGACTAACAAAGGGAAAAAAAACCCGTGTGAACGGGAGAGATAACAATGAAGGCCCATATGAATTGGCTCCAGGCACTGCAGGAGAATCCCAGGCTCAGGGCTGTGCACCTCGTGGGGCAGCAACTTGCTGTGCAGAAATCCCAGTGTGTGGAAGGGTCTGCTATTTAGAATGCTGAACTTGGACTATTCCCCTCAGACCCCCCTTTTTTTTTTTTTTTGGAAATTAAATACAGCCCTAGCTTTATGTGTACCTGAAGAAGATCTCCAGGGTCTAATGGTACAAGGATCCGTGCTTCACATTTCTTTTATTTAAAGATTGCACTCAGTTATAGAAATACAGTCATGAGACCAAAGTACAGTAAGAACTTAAAAGTTCAGCTTGTACTGACACAGACAAAGCTACCTGCAGCACTTCCAACAAGTAGTAACTGCTGGGACAGAGACAAAAATATCCAACCACTGGACAATCACAGGAAGAGTGAGGGCTACGAGTGTTCAAAACATTAAATGCTGTAAATGAGCACTGAACAACACAGAGTATTACTAAAACATAGAAAAAGGAAGTGATTCATCAACTCTTTGCTGCAGCGAAGAATGCAAAGAGGCAGGCAGCCTTCCTGCGGGTGAAAAAAATGGGAATTCTGCTTGTGCAAGGAAAACCAAATCTCAGAGCTTGTCAGGACTGAGCTGGGAGTGGGCAGCAAGGTGATCACTGTCCATGGCAGTGCAGGCAGGGACACCTGTGTGGCCAGGTGGCACCAGCCCTGTGGGTACCTCGTGGGGACACCGCGAGGTGACAGGGCAGGAAACTATGGAGAGCAGGAATGACAGGATGGACATCACCAGCTCTACCTCTGTGCTCACGTGGTGGGATCCCAATCTGCTGCAGGGCAAGCTGCTTGCTTCCCCAGGCATTTCCTAGCACTGTGTGCCCAATGCAGTCCCATCAATCACCAGACTTGCACTGCTCTTTCACCCCCATTTCCCTGCTCACATCACATCGGCCTGACTGTTCTGCAGGGCAGCAGCAGTGCAGGGGGAAAATGGCAGTGCCTGTAATATGAA